TTAATTTATCTCTGTGTCAATGGCTTTTAGTTCACCCAAACATGCATGAAATCTCTCTCATCATTCACTCACCTTCTTCTTGACTTCCCTTTATTTTTCATTCAATGAAAGTGGATGGGGACCAGAAGCAGTCAAGCTTCAAAACAGAACCATAAAAATCTTGAACCGTATCGTATTTGTATATCCTGAAATGTGAATATTTCAAGGTTTATTTTTATGATGTATAATGATGTTGTTGGTGAAAATTACTTTTTTCTTCTTTTCTTTTAAGCACAAGTCTACCAAATGGCTTCAATGGCTTCGGAAAACTACTTGTATGATGCTTTATTGTCATTTTGGAAAATGTTCTACATCAGGAAGAAAGTCATACAGGTTTTGAATGACATAAGGTTGAATAAATGATGACAGAATTGAAATGTTTGGCAGAACTAATTCTTTAAAATGATTTAAAATCACTTTGAATGAAAATATCATTTGGTTAAACCGACTAAAGGGACATTGTTGAGGTTCAAAGACACTGTGCAAACACATGCTAGTGGTTTTGTTCAACAAAAATGAGTTTGCCATGTCAATAAAAGAGAGAAAAGCATCAGTTAATTAAATATTTTTGCCATTTTCCAGTTCTTGATCCAAGCACCAAGATAAATTCTGGAGTCAGAAGTAGCATTTTCGCAGCTGTATCTCTATAAGAGAAACTGGACGGGGTTTAAATCCCCTGAGCTCTTTTCATCCGTCTCAAGAAGTTTCGCTTCTCCTCAAGCAGTTCCTGGATGCGCTTATTCCGTGTTTTCTCACGCAGAAACACGCGCCCTCTCCTGGGGATGATGTTATTTGGAGGAAACTCGCTGTCCAGTGGGATTACTGGATACGGCATATCAATAGCGTTGCAATCGCTCGTCTCTTCCATGTTATTCAGCCGTCTGCTCATCTTCTCTGTGCTGGATGCTGTTGTACTTGACTGTGATGTTGTAGACATAGAGTTTGTTGCCATTGGGGCAGGTTCTTCGGTGGTTGTTGGCACCTCTGCTATAGATGTCACTGGGACCATCTTGCCTGAGGTTGTTAACTCATTTTCATTCACACCACACTCTGTTGTCGACTGCAGTACTGCATCATTGTCCACATTTGGAGCACCACTACTCCCATCAAACTGGACAGTGGTGCTGGAAATGAGGGTGGCTTCACTCACATCACTGAAAATGATGGGGGAAACAGTACTAACAGGTAATTTGGTGCCCGAGGTCAATTCATTTTCATTCACACCATATTCTGTTGACTGCAATACCCCACCGTTGTCCACATTTGGTGCACCACTGCTCCCATTAAACTCTTCAAACTTGACGGTGGTGCTGGGAATGAGAGTGGCGTCACTCGTATCACTGAAACGTATGGGGATAACCGTACTAACAGGTAGTTTGGTGCCCAAAGTCAATTCATTTTCATTCACATCATATTCTGTTGACTGCAATACCCCACCGTTGTCCACATTTGGTGCACCACTGCTCCCATTAAACTCTTCAAACTGGACGGTGGTGCTGGCAATGAAGGTGGCGTCATTCGTATCACTGAAAATTATGGGGATAACAGTACTAGCAGGTAATTTGGTGCCCAAAGTCAATTCAGTTTCATTCACATCATATTCTGTTGACTGCAATACCCCACCATTGTCCACTTTTGGTGCACCACTGCTCCCATTAAACTCTTCAAACTTGGCGGTGGTGCTGGGAATGAGGGTGGCATCATTCACATCACTGAAAATGATGGGGATAACAGTACTAGCAGGTAATTCTGTGCTGTTTACCATGTCTTTTCCAGGTGCAGATGTGTTCCTAGATAGTGTAGTAGTGACAAAAGATGTGCTCTGTTCTGGAAGGAAATCTGGAGTAGCGTGTTGGATAGGAGTTGGAGTTGTAGTATAAGTGGAAATTGTTGTGTATCCGTTAGTATCAGATGACGTTGCTAAGGCCGTATATAACCAAGGAGTGCTCACAGAAGTGGCACTTTTCCCATCTGTAGATGGCAGAGAGCCTGTTGTGGTGGACTCTGTGCGTGTGGGACTTATGGTGGATCGTCCTTTAGTGGTTATTTCTGATCTGGATGGTGGCTTACTTTTGATCCAGTGATGTTTTTGGAATTGTCAACCTTGCAGGACTTGCAACACATGCGCTGGAAGCCTGGAAGGGAACAATATTGCTGCAGCGCCTCCATGCGACAGAAGGCAGAACGGTCACCGTGACAACGCAGTCCTGCAAGACAGGAGAGGGACATGAGACATATGCATGTACACTGAAATCATACTGTAGAACCAAACTAAAATACAAGTAGGTTACGTATAGAAGATCTTAAAGGGTTAGTTCACACAAAAATGAACTATGAACAGCTGACGCTGGTCATGTGTGTGATGCTGGCCAATAGTGAGCCTATATATGACATATAACCCAGAAGCACTGTGCTGTTACACTACTTGAACTTGCATCAGAGGCCCACACAGAAGAAAATAAATAGTTATTTATAGATTTTTGTGTTTTCTTTTTTTTGTGCACAAAAAGTAATTCTTGTCGCTTGATAAACTTATGGTTGAGCCACTGTTGACTATTTTAAACATCGTCTTTATTAACTTTATGGGCCAGCAAGTTTCAATTACAGAAAAGCCTATGGAGGAGTGAGACAGCTCTCAGATTGAATCAAAAATATCTTATTTTGTGTTCCGAAGATGAACGAAAGTCTTACGGGGTTGGAACAACATGAGGAGGCTAGTTTTATTTTTGGGTGAACTAACCCTTTAATGACAATATGTGAAGCTAAGCTAGATAAAACATGCCTTCTAAGAATTTTCCGTGCTTTTGACGAGTGTGTTTGAGCAAGAAAAAAGCAGAAATTGGGAAATCTTCAGAGAAAAGCATGTTAAGGCAAAGGCAGAAAAGAAGTTATGAACTGACCGTTAAGCAAATAGCTAAATATTTCCATTATATTACCATTTTCATCACAAATCACTGGTCATGAAATGAGCAAGAATTGCACAAATACTATAGATAACAGCACGGAATAGCCTTGCCTAACTCACAGACAGCTTTCTAAGGGAGCCATTGTTCCACTTGAGGGTTTCAAACAGCTGTGAGAAGTTGAAAAATGCTAGTTTGTTTGAGTTTAATGTGAGACCAAATATTCACTATAGGGTTAAATCTGGACTCAGACCAGGCCAAAATGTGAGCCTGACGGACCTCTTGCTGTCTAAGCCCTATTCGCACTGGATTAGTATTATCTGGGGACCTCGTGTGATTTAGAAATTACTGTATGCTGCAATACATGACATTCATCTCCATCTAATCATTCTTTTAGTTTTTTGCTCTTCTGATGGTTTTGAGCTTTATCTTTCTGCAAATTGTATAGTGTATAGTGATATGATCCAGCACCCAAAATACTATCAAAACACTCCATTATTTGCGAAAGATGGATAAAAAAAAGCACACAGGACAGAAAAAACATTGAACAAATGCTATAAGACAAACCGCCAAATCACAGAGATGCAGATTCGCACGGGACCAATATTATCACAGGACCTTGGTGTTTGGCAAAATATGGTAGGTCATTTTTCCAGGGGAATTTTTACTTTACAAATGACTAGAGGTCACCAGGTAATACTTATCCCGTGCAAATAGGGCTTAAGAAATAATTTGTGCTTAAGACAATTAAAATCTTAGTGTTTAGCCATTTTGGGCTTGGTCTTTTTTTTCGAACCCAGGAGTGAAGCTAAGCAGATAAAATCTCTTCTAAGCTTGTTCCGTGCTTTTGACAAATGTGTTTGAGCAAGAAATAAGCAGAAATGGTAGAAAAGGTAAAGCAAACGCAGAAAAAGGAGTAGCAAATCTGTGAAGATAGGGATGTAGATGCAAACCAGAAGACTACACATGTTAGGATGATGTTTTTCTTCCCTTGTGAATGTGATTATTTATGGACTATAAATGTGGTTGTTTACCCTTCTGAAAACGGATTAGATTTGTTTATTTATCCATAGGATCAAATATTTTGCATTATGCTCCAAAAATTGGTGGTTATCTGAGATTTTCGATTGATATCTACTGAGTGGGGTAGTAGTGAATATGATGCAGATATATACAGAATTCAACTTAATGACATCGAAGGTGCCCAACAAAAAGTTTTCAGGGTAAAATTGTGTATTGTGCAAAATACATCACAAAAAATAAGAAATATTGCCTTATTACAGTTTATATTTGCAGCACAACTAAAAAGCAAATTAACCCCAAAAATGTACACCCAACCACAAAAAGTTCTGTAGTGTACTTTAAAGTAAATGGAAAAATGCCACTTGCAGAGAAACAGACAGAAAGCAGAGCACCAACACAGACAGGGAAAAGCCAGAAGAGAAGATTTGTTTCTATAACACAAGTTTTTTTATTTTTATTATTCTTACTTTTGCAGTTGATCATGACAGAAACTGAAACAATGAAATGCACACCCACCCCCCCTTTAAACATACAGATAGAGTTATCTTCTTCAGAAAAATAAATAAACTGTATTGAAAGGTACAATGTCACAGTAACTTTGGTTAAACACTTGATTACTTTGAGAACATTTAATCCATTGGTAATTCAGATGAACAGGTAAATAAATAAATAGGTCATTCGTTAAATAAAATACAGGATTTCCATGATGATGTAAAAACTGGCATGGCACATACAAGTGTCATATATTAAACATTTACAAAACATTAATAAAGTTTCCCTGATAAATCAAAGTGCATATAGACGCAGTGCACGTAAGTCCATCTGAATGTTCCCCAGACATATCCCCCACAACAGCCAGCCAAGACGCAGTTAGGCCAGTGAAGTAACATGACAGTTACTCATAGTATATATAATATTAGCATTTTTTTTTCTTATAAGTAAGGAGATAACAGTCATAAATGTTATTATAAATACAGTAAATACCTATGTTTATTTACAGTATCTCACTGCAAGGTCTGGCTTTTCCTAGTGTTTTCTTCACGGCTTTGAGCATGAAAAATCGGATAGCTCGCTACATAGTCACAACAGAAATGTGTTTCACAATAATACAATGACACGTCTGAAGTGATAAAGAGATGCTGAGTGAAGGTTTCCATTATGGGTTAGCCACGGTTTTTCGGATTCGTGTGACGATTGGTTGATCGGTTGGTTCTATTTCAGGTTTTGTTTTAAGCTGCCTCTCGTTTCTGTGCGCTAAGCCATCACTTTCACAGATAAATGCCGATACATTCAATTGTAGTGTAAGGCATTGTTCTTACGCTCTATGTCTCCCCTTTTCCCGCCCCCGAAAAGAATGAGCTCAGATGTGGATGAAAGTGCATGAGGTATATTTATGTGTCGTTTGTCTTTCGTATGGCCACCGGTTAAAACACATGCTGGCAGACGTACACGTACACGCACACGCACGCACACACACGCTCGTGTCGAAAACACACGCCATTCGGAGATATTTAATCCCTCTAGTTTAAATCCGTCTCAACGAAACCACTTCTCTCTGAAAAAAAACAACAGCAACAACAAAAAAACAACAACGAAGAGGCAACTGGCTGAGCGAGTCCTGCATAATATAGGTCTTCCCATTTCCCCGAAACACTTAACTTCCGTTATTAAATAGCAATAGTTCTGTATTTATGTAAAATCAATAAAAAAATACACGTAACAGTCAAGAATTAAAGCGATCAATAGCAGTCAAAATGTTAGGCTAATAAGCTACAGCTTATTCATGGTAAAACAAATTATTAATATTTCATATTATTGGTACCCATATAGATTTATATAGAAATACAAATATATTTATATGTTCGTTTAAAGTCTGCAAGCACAAATAAGCTGCATTTATTGAATTTGTTAACAGTCAAAGAGAGGATGGAGGATGAGGTGGTTATGGCATTCAAACGTGTGTAGTAAAGCGACCCTGTTTAGCAAGTTCCACCTCATGTTCCCCATCAGCCACCAACACGCGTGATGGCGGTTCAACAGTACGTCCCATGTTAACAGCTTAACTTGTTTGAGTGTTTGTTTTTGTCCCATCGGTTTTCGAGAATGAACTAGGATGTGGAATGAGCACTTAGCAAAGATTTCCTCATTGTGACAAGTTCACATTCACAATAAAGCTTTATTTTTTTGTGATTTTTTTTCTTTTGTTTTCCTTTTTTTTTTTTTTTAAATCTTATAGCCACTTTTCATGTTTATTTTTTTCCCCTTCACACCTGCAGCTCAGGTGGGGCCTCTGTAAAACAGCGTCCGCCTCGAGAGCGTGAGCCATAATAGAAACAGCTTGCGGAGGGCAGTGATTCAAACAAACGCGACGCCCCCGCGGAAACCGCGAGCTGCCCGTCCAACCACAAAGCCCCTTCTTTATCAAACAACCCCCGATTTTTTTTTTTTTTTACATGTTTTGTCAACAATTTCTCACTGGCCAGCGTTCACAACACAGAGCTCCACAAAGGAGAGAGAGATAGAGCGAGAGACAGAGAGAGAGAGAGAAACAGAGAAACCTCCCCCTATCGGAAACGCCCCGTAAAAGAGGACCACCACCCAGGAAAAAGAGAAGCGTGCAAGCCTCGGAAGAGGGAGGCAGTCAGGGGAGTTTGCCTTGTAAAGCCAGGCAGAGTGACAGAGGAAAGGTCCAGCTCAGAGAGGTGAGACAGCGCAGAGCGACAACGTGGCTGGTGAGAGACGATTTACTTGACATCCTCTGCAAGGGGTATTTGGGGTCGTGGCGCGACAACCACTGTATCAGGAAGTTGCCGTGCTTGTTGAAGTCGGAAGTGCTCGCTGTTGCATGTGGGAAGAGGAGGGAGCGGGATCGGGGAGGAGAAAGTCCGGGACAGAGAGAGAGAGAGAAAGCAATCAGCTATATTAGAGCATTTGTTAATGTCACAAATTAGTCTGTTATTTCTGCACAAAACCAGTACAGAAAATACAACTTTTATTAATGACATCAATAAGCAAGCATATCATTAATAGGCAATATTAATAGGCTAGCACTCGGAAGATGACATAAGGATAAAAACTGTACTGACAAACGAAGATGTTTCGTCACGCTATCATTTTGAAAGTGTATTATTTTACAAGCTTTTTTTTAGCTTAAAACATGTGATAACACATTACAATAAGGTTTACATTTTTAACGTTAGTTAATGCGTTACGTATAATTAACTAAAAAAAAAAAAAAAACATTTTTACAGGATTTAATTCAATTTAGAAATACACTATTGTTCATTGTTGGGGTCAGTAAGATTTTTGTAAGTAAGTGACGATAAGGTTAAAAAAGGTTTCTTTCAAATTAATTCTGTTCATTTGAACTTTATATTCACCAGAAAATCCTACAACAATTGTATCATGGTTTCCACCAAAATATATCAAGTAGCACAACAATGATAATTAATAAGAAATGTTTCTTGAGCAGCAAATCAGCATATTCGAATGAGAGATCATGTGACACTGAAGACTGGAGTAATGGTGCTAAAAAGTCAGCTTTGCATCACAGGAAAAAATTACATTTTAAAATATATTCAAAAAGAAAATATTTTAAATGGTAATAATATTATACAATATTACCGTTTTTACTGTATGTTTTTATTAATACAGTCTTGGGAACCTTCATAAAGTCAAAAACATAAAACAAATCTTACTGATTCCAAACAGCAGTATATAATGATAAGAAGAACTTGATTGTAAAATGAAAGCAGTTATATACAACCACATCTTGAATATGAGGCATGGATTTTCAAGTTGTAAGGATTACTTTTAACCCCTCCCACCAACCATCTAGATCCAATCTGGTGTTACGCCCACTTTAAACAATCCAGTCAATTCTCAAAATTCACCGCAAAATTTCCAATTGCTTGTAAATTATGAATGTACTGATCTGTTTGGGATGTTATTTCAGAAAGTGTGATCACAAAATTGAATACGCACTTGGGCAGGGATCCATTCTGCAGGGTCTTAATGCAGCTGGCTTGGAGTCCAGACAGAGCCCAATGGTGTTGTCACGAGTGTGGCAAAGCACCTGCCTCTCCTGCGTGCCATTCCCACATGTCACTGAGCACTACAACAGCACACACACAAACAGAATCTCAAACTAATCCAGCTATAAATCCAGATATATACTGATTTCCAAAAAAGCATTTTCATGCCCTTACCTGTGACCAGGGACCAAGCCTCCACTCAGCAGGGCACAGGTTGCGATTGCAGTCTCTGCGGGATTCCGGGCGCTCGTCGCTGCAGTAACGACTGCGGATGGATTTGTACTTTTCCTCGCCCAGCGGTTGGAGGCAGCGTACAGAGCGTGTTTGAGTGCCAGTCTTCCCACAAGACTTACTGCATTCACCCCACTCTCCAGCCACCCAGCTAAATACGTCAAATCAAGCACAAGGTCGCGGATTATCCATGTGTGTGTGATGCAACAATGACATCTACTGGACAAAGACTATAGTTGCAGAAAATTACACCACAACATGGGTAGTGCAAGGGAATGCTGGTTAAACAAGTAATGTGTTACTTCTTTGTGGTTTTACTTTTTGCATTACAATTTCTATTGGTTATTTCTTTAGAAGCCTTTCTGGATTCTACTGTACATTCCATCATGGGAAACAACGTATCACAACCAAATGCTACATTTTGGACAAATGTTGATTTCTGTGTTGCATCCCGCACAGTGATGATTAAAAGGCAAATAGGCTTTTCACACTGAGCTTAACACAGGGTTATAGACATTCAAACGCTCTTTTTTTAACACTGGGAAAAAGATGCGAAACGATGCGATGTTAGAACGTTACAACTACTGTAGATGCTTAGCAACTGACCGCATGGTATATATTTACGTGCTTTGGGCAGCCACAGAAACTCTGGGCCACGTACTGTATATAAACAGATGTTTATGATAGGAAAAAAGTCAAACAGCAATGAAAAATGCGACGTTTCATTCTTACCGTTATGGTTCAAAAAGTTCACTCAGAAAAAACTTGATATTACAGTCAGCAATGTTTTATGTAAACAGGTCATGTGCTACGTTTGTCTAGTAGGTAGCACTGACACAATGCAAATGTTGATTTACTATTTCTTAGTGTGAAAAGTGCCAATTGTAATTATAACAGCAGTTAGCAATAACAAGATTAAGAAAAACTTTTTTACTTAAAAAACATGTTGATTAAGCAACTTGTGCCTCTCCCAAAAATGAAAATGTGAATAAAAAATAATAACTAGAATATCCTTGTAACTCATATAGTGTAACAAATGTTTAAAATGGGAGACGTGACTAAATGTGTCTATATTCTATACACCGAGGAAGGCTCTTAAGCCATATTTTTTAGTTATGAAAGTTTCCCTTACCACAAGTGTTGCTGGATTCCCTTTTGAACTCTTAAAACAAAATAACACATTTCTGACAAAACACATTTCTGATTTGGAAATAAAAGCTATTTTGGTGCACAAACTCACATAGGCTGAGCACACTCTCTGAGGTAACAGTTTTTAACCAGGGGCGGAGGCAACTTGATTTTCTCACAGAATTTGCGATGGACCATCCTCATTTCTGTGTTTTTGCGGCATCCATAACGCGCCGTCTGATTTCCTGTCCATAAGAAAGTCAATGAAACATTCATGAACATGAAAAGAGAAATTCAAAATAATATAAGTAAAATAATCTATGCTAACAATCTATTGGACTAAATATTATTTTAATTGTGGGTCAGATTACATTTTTGGGGAAAAACAATTACAAAATGATGTACAAATTAAAAAAGGAAGTGAATCATACTCATGAACAAATTATGTAAGCTAACATTCTACTGGACCAAATATTGACTAAATTATTCTTACAGAAAGATATTTTTGTAGGCCAAAACTCTGAAAAGCCAGAATTAGCATTTCAGCATTTAAGCAAGAATGAAGGAGTTACTTTTTGATAGTTGAAGTTGTGTGAACGTGGTGTACTTTATAGCCTTTGTTAAGCTATTTACTTTTTTGTGATTGTATTTTGGCTTTACAAATCATAAAAATGTTAATTTGTGAAGATCACAGCAGCACTCTTCAGCTCTTTCAGCTCTGCCCCCTTTTAGTTACGGTTGCAAGCTTGATAATATGGTGGACAGAAACAGTTGCTAAGCTAGGATTGGTCAGGTGTGTTTTAACGAGGGACTTAGCAAAGGCTCAGTTAAAGTAGAAACATATTAGAGATGTAGGGGAAACTCATCTGCCTGTATCTACATAAAAGTGAACTACCTTTTCCACAGGTCTTGGAACAAGGTGCCCATCTCTTCACCACCCAGGAATATGGCACTGCATAATCAGGGACCATGTTATTCTCATTGGCACTGTCACTCGGTCTTTCATTGTCAGTGATGTATTTGATCGACACCTTCACTTTGGTCGATCCATGCATTCGGATCTAGAGCACAAATAAAGACAATCAGTTAAAACAAGTTAAAAGAGTGTGTTTCCATTCATGTGTGTGTGAATTCCCACGAGAGATTACCATGACCACCACATCGTTTTTTAGGGGGCCATTAGTTTGAATGGTGTCCTTGTTGTTTTTATTCTCATACTCCCATTCCAGACCTTTTTCAATAACCGAGCGCGTCTCTGGGTAGTCTTCATGTGCGTTGAGAAAGAAATCACCTGACGCTTTATTCCTGACAGCTATTCAGCATAAAAATCAAGAGAGAGAGCAGCAATTAAGTAAAAATAGTGACCACTGGAGTGCTTACTGCATGAGAAACAGGGAGAGATCAGGCTTTACCTAAAATGTGAGCAGTCCCATTAAGTTCTTGGATAAAGAGATGTCTCGCACCTCTGGGAACTTCAAGCACCTTAATGACACCTAAACCAAATGTAACACATTTTCAAATCAATTTACTACCACTAATATGCAACATAAAAAAGGGATAGAAAGTGACTGCAAAGTGTGAATTTTGACAAGTTCATTTCCCAGAAGAAAACTCAAGACTACAATTGAGGCATTTCAGGGAGTTCAGAAACAGTGTTAACTTCTATAGATTAAGTATATATAGAGTTACTTATATAGAGTATAGTTATTATATGCTTTATAACTTTCCACACATTTTTATTCTCAAACATGAATAATAAACACTAAAGAAAGTTTAAAATGTAAAAAAGCATGATAAGACACCATTAAATTCTTTACTTTCAAACATTCAATCCTTTGAGCTTTTAATTTGTCAAATCTCATAAACCCCCAGCATTTCACAACAAACCCCCAGGGGTTAGAGAAACTGCGTTTGGGAAACCCTGAGATATAGTATTGTATTTTGTAAATTTCTCTTGAATGTAAAATGTAAAAAAAAAAAAACTATGTAAAAATGCTACCTCATCTAATCTAAGATATCCAAGCCCAGGGTTCAAGTACCCTGCGTTTGGATGGCCTTTGCGTAGAATTTGGCCAAAAAGTATCTTATCTTATACTTAAGTATCTAAGTATCTGCATAATTATGTCTAGTTTGGAAGAACCATTGTATCTGGACTATAAGCCTATGATGCCTTCAACTGTGGGCTCTGCAAGGTTTTGGGACCAAGCTTACACGTTTGCCGACGAAACGTACCTTTCTTCTCTACAAAGGTGAAGTTAAATTTGTGAGTCTTGCACTTGGTTCCATCTCCCCCGCAGACGCCGCACTTATCTTCCTGCAGAGCTGATCCGACCACATTATCACAGCCCACTTTCTGAAGGGAGAGAGACACCATAAGCAAAAGGGAACCGAGCACACACATTTAAAAGAGGTACACGCAGTTATTCACCTCACAGTCTCCGTACACACACACACTGTAGGGATCTTTGTAAGAGCAGGGGGTTCCATCTTCCACCTGCGTCTGCATGTTGACTCCAGCTCGCGTCTCTTTGGATTGACAGTGCAATTTGCAGCGTTGCTTGGCTAAGGAAAACAAGACAAGAGAGATCCTTGAGAGATGGATTGAGATACGACAAAAACATCAAGTGCATATTAACAAGGATTGACAAGAGCTTGAATTCTTAAAAGAAAAACAGCTTCCATGTTTAGAAAAAATGTGCAATAATTTAAATCACATTTAATAGTTACAAAATCCTTAAAAAAACTTTTCCACAACAAGTACATCTTGGACCAACAGAGGATAGACTTAGATTAAAAAACTTGATTAAGTGTGAATGGTCTCCAGGTAGTCATTTCGTGGTCTATAATTGCATTGCACATTATTTCATCCCAGACGGATTCCCAGCATCAGTGTGAATCCCAAATCACAATCCCAAAACTTGACACTTCTGTTTCAGATGTACATTCTAAGTCCAGCTAAATTTCCCATTAAGACCAAAAGTTATCCATGAACAATCTGATGACTGTTGGATATCCTAGCAATTTAAAACCATTTACTCTGTGCGGAAAAAAAAACAAAAGTATATCTTCCAGATCAAAAAGCAAGACAACTCAACAAATCAAGGCTAAAATTCTCTTTAGCAAGACTAAAACAATGTAAAAAAGGTATTATCTCATCTTTTTAAAGGTATCCAAGTCCATTTTACGGTATGAGACATAAATTATTCTATAATTGACCAGACAGAAATAAAAGGCTTTACTTTGGATGTACTTATGTTGATCATAAAACTAAGGCGGATCTCCATAGCGCTAATGACTCAGGAGGGATTTCATGTTTTCAATGATGTCATGAACGGTGTAGAAGTACACATGGAAAAAAGAGGGGGGGTTTGATTGACATCATATTTCCATGTGTGCCCACTGTGTAAGTGAGAGCAGCTGTGTGGAGAGATGGATTACATCAGCCTTGTGGACAAACTCATCGTAATTGTGTAGGACAGGAGTTAGGAACTATTTGAATAAAATGTACAATTATTATATAAAACATAAAATACACACATACATACATATATACAGTATATGTATACATTTTTAATTTATTTTTTTATTTTTTCAAAATTCCAGCAATAGATTACATAGTGTTCAATTTCTTTGCATATTGAGAAAACAGCTTGACACTAGGCCACAAAAGTACATATTTGTACAGTACCTCACCCATCCATAAAGGTACTTAGTATTAGTACATTAAAAGTATATATTTAGTATCTTAAGATTTCAAGGTGGGTATTGTGGCTTAATTGTCGAAATCCAATGTTGGTGTATTGCACTGTTTTAGGGTACTCTTTTATATAAACCAGTTATTTAAAAAAAAAAAATTGTCAGTAGTGTGGCTGTTTGATATAGTATTTGTGGCCAGTGCTGTCTAGTTGTTTTGTAGCTCAGTATCTGTTGTCAACGCAGTCTGTGAAATCTGCCGTATTACTTACGGTCAGGATGTTCATAAGGCAGCCAGTTGTGCCAGGTGTTCTGGTATTGAAACTTGTTGTCCATCATCCTACATTGCTCGGCTCTGTAGTCATGGTACAGGTCCTTACACTCATGTGTATTACACATCTGGAACTGAAAGCTTGGACCGGCGCAAGAACGTCCGCCATTAGCTGGACTGGAGGAGGTTAAAGGAATTTAAAAAAATATATATATATTAGTTATACGTGAGACAGACAGACAGACAGACAGACAGACAGACAGACAGACAGACAGACAGACAGATAGATAGATAGATAGATAGATAGATAGATAGATAGATAGATAGATAGATAGATAGATAGATAGATAGATAGATAGATAGATAGATAGATAGATAGATAGATAGATAGATAGATAGATAGATAGATACACACTATGGATTGTCACAAGCTCGGGTGCGAAACTGTAGTCCTCTTCCACAGGGGCGAGAGCAGGAGCCAAACTCACTCCATACACCCCAGCCTCCATCCTGTTTTATGATGTCTGGCGTCAGCCACATACAGTGGCCTTTAAAGCAGTGCTGAGAGAGGAAGAGAACAAATCAAACACATAAACACAGAGGAAGCGAGGGAGTCTAACGTATCAGGGCATATTTGCATAAAAGGCTGAGTGGCGGTACCTTCCCTTCTCCGCATGTGGTACCATCAATGGGCGGCCCTTTTTTGGTCTTGCAAAAGAAGGGGTTGTCTGGGTGAGCGCACCAAAGCTGCTTACAGGGGTCAAAGGTGCGATACTGGGAAATAGAGGAACAGAAAGAAGAAAATTAATTCTCAACCTCTCACACACACTCTGAATGAGAGAAATCTTACAGCAAAATGCGGCTGGTCAGATAGTCACAAGGCTAGGATCAATTGGAAGGATGTCAGATTGGGTAAATATAGTTAACTGTTCTTTCCAAAGACGAGATGATGAGTAAACATTATTTAAAAAGCCTTATAAATCTCCAATAATTAAAAAAAAAAAACATCCATTAAAGTGTGTTTAATAAATAAAATAACCTGTTTGTTTTTATGAATTGTGAATCGTTCTCCTTAAAAAGGTGTCACAAAAACGTGTTACACTTTGTTTCTACAACAATGTATTTTATTCAATAATATAATATAATATAATATAATATAATATAATATAATATAATATAATATAATATAATATAATATAATATAATATAATATAATATAATATAATATAATATAATATAATATAATATAATATAATATAATAATAGGACTCTGTGGAGAAATCTAATTTGAAGGAAGCCGTCATCGGACACGATGGACAGCAATTGAATATAATATAATAGCGACGCCACGTGTCACAATTATTTAGGCAAGATGACACAATATGAACCATTTTCAATAATGGGCAGGTTACATTTATGTAACAAAGCAATCTCATGCAGGCAAAACAAAACAATGAAGAACAACTGTTTTAGTTATGATACAGCTTGTAGACAACAGAATGCTAGGCAGTGATGTGATATGGCCTCAAATGCTATGCAAAATCTCTCTTTTTTCCTTCCCTCGAGGCGTAGTATAGGACCAGAAGAATCTCTGGCTGTGGTACTAATGATGACACTCCATTTAGCAGGATCCTAAACCCAACAAGCGTTTCAAACACATCAAGACACTAAGTGCAAAATAATGGCTCACAGTTTTCAACAGTAGCCAGCTGGCTGCTCGTGTTATCTCAGTTTGAAGATTGTTTAGAGTGTGCCAAGCTAAATAGCAAATAAATCTTTTATGATGAATGTGCTGTAGAAAACTCACTGAAAAGTCACCAGGTTACAATGACCTGGTTAACTTATTAAAGCGATGTTCAAAAAAGGTTTGAGCTCTGTTGAGCATGCTTTCATTTTGTCCCTCAGAAATTGTGTTCACATTAGTGTTTTACAACTGAAGTCTAGGCCAAGGCTGAAGCCCTTATATAAATTGAAATATATATATATATATTATATATATATAAAAAATATATATTAAAAACATACAAACGTGTAAAGTAGTCTAAATCCCCCAGACATCTGTTCTGGGTGGATGACCTCTAGTTATGCATTATACTAAATGTAATTTCTGTTTGTTTAGTTTGCTCACGTCAATTCGAGCATTTCAATACACACATTTATTTTTTTATTTTTTGAGAAACTGAAGGACAAGTCGAAATGATTTAAATGATTACACTTGTATTAAACTCAAGCATTCCTTTAACCTCACGTCACACAGGCTGGTTAAAAAACTGTGCCAATAAATTCCAAAATACGGTAAGGAAAAGACGACTGTGGGTTTAGTATCCCGCTGTGTACATGACTGCAAAATGACAATGAGTTCCACACCAACCAATAACATGTAATGATTAACAATAAGACCATCTGAATTGAACCAAGTTCAAACCAAAGAGGCCACATTGCGACTGAGGAGAACACCTTACCTGGGCTCCTGATTGCCCCACCTTTTGCAGCTAAGGGAATGGTTTAACAAGACAATGAAGTACAGTCCAAGCAGTGCTGTTCAGCTGGAATTTCTTTTTTCTGAGCAGAAATGATTCTTCAAATCATTTTTATCCAGTTTTGTGAAAGCAACATCAAGTGATTTCAAACTCATGCCATCTGGTTTTGATTATCTGATCATATTTTATTCAAAGAATCGCAAACAATTAAAGGGATGCCTCACAGACGTTGGCATCATTTTAAAATGTGGTGTTTATAAAATGTGTTTTGCTGTGAACCTGGAATGTTTTCTCTACAAAATAAAACCAGCTGATCTGCTATGAAGGATTTTAAAACCTGGTCCTTGTTCACTAAAAATAAAATCAGTTTAAAATAATCATTTTCTCACCCTCACGTAAAAAAAAAAAAAAAACGTTTTCGGGTGCACTATTCTGTTCTTTTAAGTTTTTTCCCCTTCAGCATGTACAGATATCAAAACTCAGTCACTTAACACAACATACTGTGGTACATTCATAATGCATTATTAGCATGTATAATACTGGGTCATGGCGATCTATATGGTGAACCCAATGACCACAAATGGTGATTGTTATGGCAAGCCGATGGTCAATTATACATGCTCGTAGTGATTTTACAATCTCATAAAAAATAATGCATTATTTGAATGAAAAGGCCTGCGAGGCAGTTAATTCAAGACTCACCGCTGTGCACATCATATATCCGGCCCCAAAGTCAAAGCGACACTGTTCGTCCATGGAGTAATGCAGCCCGGGCAGCTGTGGAAGCTCCTCCCATGTGTGCTCGTACGGGTCATCACGGAGACAATCATATGAACTACACAGGCAGAATGAGGTAGTATATGATGCACAGTTGTACTAGTACAGTTTTGGTTGGTTGGTTGGTTGGTTGGTTGGGTGTGTGTGGACATGTAGTACTCACTGCAGGTAGCGGCCCAGTTCCTGTTGACTGCAGCGGGACCAGAGGAACCGGTGGAAAGCGGCCTGTACCAGTGGGGCCATTATGCTACCCATTTGCACCTCATCTCCACAACGGTTCCCCAGCCCATCATGCTCCATTCCCAACCTATAACACACGCATATATATTATTGTATATACAAACAATTAACATTTGAGGACAACTTATTTTGGCATTTTTAGAATGAAATACAATTATGAACAGACTTTAGTCAGGGAAAATACCATATTTATGGAATTGCATGAATTTGTTCCAGAACTAATCATTTTTTGGTAACACTTTACAATAAGGTTCATTATTTAACATTAGTTAATGTATTAACTAACATGAACTAACCATGAGCGATACATTTGTTACAGTATTTGTTAATCTTCGTTGATGTTAGTTAATGATAATAAAGCTGTTCAATGTTTGTTCATTTTAGTTCACAGCGCATTAACTAATGTTAACAAGATTTTAATAAAGTATTAGTAAATATTGAAATGAATGTTTACAAAGATTAATAAATGCTGTATAAGTGCTGTTCATTATTAGTTCATGCTAACTAATGTAGTTAACTAATGTTAACTAATGAACCTTAATGTAAAGTGTTACCCATTTTTTAAATGAATTGGTTGAGTGAAGGAATCAACGAGTCAGTTTTATAGGCTAAATTAATTTGTTTACCAATGACTCAATGACTCGTGGCTGCATCTGAAATTGTATACTCTCTGAGTAGGTACTTTCTTTGAATATGTACTTCACAAGTGTTATAAAAGTATGTGCTGTATAGTTTGAATGCAATTTAGACGTTCTACATTTGTTGTTTTGTTCATTGTTTGAACGAATCGTTTGAGCAAATGATTCAATGACTCACTCATTAAGACTGTGGCTGCATCTGAAATTGTATACCATCTTACTAAGTACTTTCTTTGAATAAGTACTGTAATTACTTCACGACTGTTAAAAAAGTATGTTCTGCATAGTATGAATGCAATTTGGACATCCTGCATCCGTCATGTTGTCATTACCATGTGACCAACCAGCATCAGTTGCATCACTTCACTGCCATTCATAAACACACTCCCATGGCCTTGTGGGACAGTAAAACGAACATCGGATGGAAGTGGTTTTCGCCAACTGTTTTATGAAAACTGTAAATTTGGATATACTAATCTTTTCACCTACAATATAGTTGGGGAGTATGCAGTTTCGGATTTCTAAATTAATCAGTGTTTTAAACTAATTGGTTGTGAACAATCCAATGATTTGCTGTTTCACTCACAGTCAGTCACTTTTTGCCACCTACAGGCATAGTGTAACTTGCAGAAAAAGTCACTATAAAATTCCCACTACTAATTCACTAATTAGCAATAAAAAAAAGTGGAAAGTCATTTGTATGATTGTTGCTCTACTAATAAGATTCAAAGGCCTGGGGATGGTTGCAGAAACGGCTAGTCTTCCAAGTTAGACATAACTTTTTTTCCCTTCAAGACCGTTCTTAACTTTTTTAAATCAGTTACATAAAAATGTAGATTGTGCCAAATCTTCTACCAAAAAGTAAGACTGATACCCTTGGACCCCTCGACTAGCTGTTAGTGGGTCATACTAACTAGATGGCTATGTTTATGCAACTGGCCCCAGAACTACATTTTGTATATATCAAAATATATGATATAGCTTTTGACATACTGATATTAGGTAAGCAGGGTTGCAGCAGGTACTCACACATGGCCGGTTTCATGTGCCACCACAAAAGCAGACGAGAAACCATCCTCATGGTTGAGAGTGCAGCTCCGTACGGGATGACACATGCCTGTGACAGGAGCGTAACCTAGCAACACATAAGAACACCTTACTGAGTTTTTCCTCCTCACATCTTCATCAACAAATTTTCCACTGATCCGAGGCCTGAGGTCATGATCATTTCAAGATCATTGTGGCATGTTCTTGTAGACATTGAGTTTGAATGTTTGAATAATCATATGCTTTTATTACCAACATGTTTCAATCTCTGGAGGTAGATGATGATGTGAGTGTGTTTGTGCATTTTACCCTGCATCCCCGTAGGTCCAAACTCTTGGCGAGTGAGAAAAATGGCGTGATCGTGGTAATATTTATCATTTGTGTCCTTCCTCTGCTGTTCGAAAGCCCATCTACACACATTCTCCAGACTCTGAGAAGGGCTGCCCAGCTCAATGAGACTCGCGGACTGAAAGCATACATGAGAAGGAAGTTACGCTCAAAACTTAATTTTGCTATCCGGCTATTGGGGTCTGGTGGTGGTGTGAATCAATTCCTAACATCTAAATTAAGTTGAGGGTTAAAGGAACTATTAAAGGAACAGTTAATCAAAAATGTACATTCTATCACAATTTCTGACAGAATCTGTTGTAAAATGTTGGTGTGTTGCTCGCATAAACCTATGACTTCAGAAGACATGGAATACAGCACATGGGTCATATGGATGATTTTTATAATGCTTTGCCATCATTGAAAAGAAAAAAAAAATCAACTAGTATTGAACCAATTTAAGTAAGTACAAAAGTCCATAAATGTTCAAAAGTTTGATGTCAGTAAGATTTTTAAATGTTTCTGGAAAAAAGTATCTTATGCTCACCAAGGCTGCATTTGTTTAATAAAACAAAATCCAAACTATTTTCTACTTTAATGTATTTTAAAATGTAATTTATTTCTGTGCATAATTACTCCAGTGTTCAGTGTCACATGATCCTTCAGATATCATTCTAATTTGTTGCTCAAGAAATATTTTTATTATTATTTTCAATTTTTAAAACAGTAATATTTTCACAATTCTTGGATGAATAGAAAGTTCAAAAATAAAAATATTTATATGTAATATTATAAAGGTCATTACTGTCAAGTTTGATCAACTGAATGCATCCTTGCTTACATATAATTATAATTAATAATAAAAAAAACGTACTGACCCCAAACTTTGAAATAGTAGCATATAACTACAAGACTTAACATTAATTGTGTTAACTTGAGAGTAGTGTGATATAATTGTATAATAGCCCATTTTAATTAACTTTAAATGATAATTTAACCCTAGTACACCTAGTAAATTGCATATAAATTGCACCTCACACACATAGTAGTAAGTAATTTTACACATACTTCATTTGCAGAGCATATTTTATCCATGCCCATTAACAGGTTAGAGCTTTCACACTGCACGCGGGTGCAGTTGGTCGATCCGTTCCAGTTGAGGTGCGTATACAGCAGTGCAGCGATCGTTTCCGCACCAAGTCTATTTTTACTGCGCAGCAAACGCTGAATTAAAGTGACAGCGCACGGTCCGTGGTCAAAATTAACACAGTTTGACTTGAAAATAGTAATTTCACCATAAATGCATATAGACCATTTTGCAAGATGTAAACAACACTGGTCCAGAAGCACTTCCTGTTTTTTTAACTCTACATAAAAGGTGGGATAAAATACAACCAACAGAACATATAAAACTGAATCAAAAAGTCAAACAAACATCTTTAAGATGTTTTCTTTACATGTGAAATAAAGAGAACAGTTACAAACTGAAACAGGAAGTGTTTCTGGACCAGTGTTGTTTACATCTTGTAAAATGGTCTATAATTAAATATTACTTTTTTCACAGTCATCTTTTAAGAACGGGGATAAGCAAGGAAAACTATTTACCTCAACAAGGGCATAATGAATGACACTCGCCTCATTCGTGGAGGTGGAAAAACAAATTCTTTGTGACATGCAAGATTTATTGTATTAAAATTTAAATGCAAAAGAAAAGGCATTAGAGTCGGCTGTTTTTTTCAATTTTAAAATGTTAAAAGTACATGGTTAAATATTTGACCACTTGCTTGAGCAACTTAGTAGAAGTAATGCATGGAATTATAGCAGTACGTTGTTTAAATTGTGTTTAAACGTGCATACACTCTTAGAAGAAATGGTTCTATTTAGAACCAGAAATGGTTCCATCCCCCGCTTTATATATGGAACTCCAAAATGGTTCTATATAGAACCATTTTTTTTTGGTAAAAGGTTCTATTGGCCAAGTACGGAACCCCAGGGTTCTATATAGAACCCAGAGGAACCCTTTTTTTAAGAATGTGTATAGAACCTTTAGGGGTTCCAAATACGTAGCGCTGATAGAACCTTTTAAGGTTCTATAGAGAATTTTTTGTGTACAAAGAGTGTACATCCATTCAAATTTGTATATGTGTACAAAGAGAATCACAATGCTGACAAAACTTTTATTTTTTTCATTAAAGTTGCTGCATAACTTCTGGATTTGAAATAAAAATAGTGAGTATGTGTTTGTGGTACAGCCGCGGATCAGTTACGCACTGCAAAACCCAGTATATGTTAAAAGAACTATGGCGCGCACCGCATACGTGTTGTGTGGCAAACGGAGTATGTGTGGAACGGGCGTAAGACATCCATAAATTACTGAACACTGAACAATTGTTGTTTGTTAATACACTGAGGGATGAATCAAAACAATTTTTCTGCAGTCAAATCACAGATGCTGAACCGAAGCTGCTCCTTTAATCAGAGGACAGACTCCTAAACAATTACATCAACACAAACTTCAAAAGCACGACACACATCAATCATTTAGTAGCATTAACGCCCTTTGATGTTGAAAGTACTGAACAATCCAATCGATTTAATTTGTAGTGAAACGAAACACGTTGTCATGAAATGTTTACACAAAAACAAAAGAGAAAAAGTCGAAACCCCGGCAGCCACGACACTGTTATTATTGCTTCATCTGACACTTGTGTGAACACAGACGTAAACATTGCTCTGTTTTTTTTTGCCGTATTCTGTGCAGGAAGACAAATGTGTCCAGAGAAACATCCAGACAGGAATGCGCGGCTGTGTTTTGATGACGTGGCCACGAGAGCTATTGGAAGTAGATCCTCTCCAGATGTGTGTCCTGAAACTGCCTTTCTCTCCCTGTGCCTTACTCGCATGCTTCTTGCATTGTAACAAGGTCATGAACTCTGAGAACTACGTTGCAATGTCTCCATCAACCAGTAGAGGGAAGCTTCCCCATTCCAATGCCTTGCTGTGCACCATGGGAAAGAAAGAGAGAGGGTGCTGGGAAATAACTCAACTCAGCATCACTCTCAGCACAAGTGCATCCAGAGCTTTATTCTCGCATTACACTTCATTTATTTGTGACTGATGATTTTTAAGTGGTAGATTTGTGCGCAGGCAGCAAACTAATGTAAATTAGTTACTAAACACATGATTTATCTTCACTTATCTTCATTCCATCACTGATATGTTTGTTGATAATGTCACAAAGAGTGTTTCTCGGGATTCTGTAAACAGGAGACTTGATCTTGTTCTTGTTAACGGAATACATGACAGACGTGCAAGCATGCTCATTAAAACAATGTCTCGGCATCTTTATAGTCTCTGTGATCCGCTGAACGCACACACACTCTTAGACACAAGCACGCTGTGTGGATTGATGCTGGGTGTGTCGTGTCAGGGTCTCTTTTTCAGCGCTAGGTGAGGGGAAGAGCGGAACAGATGTGCGGAAGAGACTGTGATGTTGAAACCTTGTTGGAGGTGCGAGGGGTCACTCGGATGATCGTGCGTGCCGCTGCCGGCAGCAACGGTTGCCACAGTAATTGGGAATGATGGACAACCTGCTGGCAAGACGGGCGAGGCTGCATGCTGATTGGGGCTGAGGCGGCAGGGGAGAGGAGTGGGTGTGGAAGAACCAGGCGTTTGTGTACGAGCGAGAATAAGAGGGAGGGAGAGGTGGAAAGAAAAAGATACAGATGGAGAAAGATGTATATCTGTAGCAGAGCTATTGAAATAAGTGGGTGATCCCGGGAGATTTGAGAATGCGAGAGTGTGAATAAGAAAAGACAGTGGAAAGGTTTAGACACTGAAAGATGAGTGAAGTTAGTGAAGTCAGGTTAACAAATCTGCAATGAAATTACTGAAATTGGAACAACTGCATTAATGTGCCTCTACTAAAGGGGTCATGAACTGGCTTTTTTAAAAATTTTATTATATTGTTGTCTGTGGTCAATTTATGACGTTCGCTTGGTTTTTGCATTCAAAAACATCAAAATGAATAATCATTAGGCTATTTTCTACCCTAGTTGTGAGCCTAGCTCAAAAACGCTTGGTTTTTATGGGCGTCTCGCACTGAAGACTTGGAAGTAGGGTTGTGACAGTGAGGATATTAATCGACGTGTGACAACACCGGTAATACCGGTGTCACTGACGGGGGCTTTGAAATCGCTAATTTAAAGGCAAGCGTAAAATGCGCACGTTTTCACGGGCATACATAACGGTGCGGTAGTGCGGGAAAGAATTGTTTTGTTATTGTGCCCTGAATATGCGCTAGTTTGAAAACGATACTAACTTTTGATTGACAGACATGTGATCTGACCAATCAAAATCCACCATTTTTGTCCGACAAAGCAGTCAGGAGAGTTAGTAGATTAACGTCGGTGGAACTTGGCTTTATCAGACAATCTGTCACGACACATTAAAGAGCCACAAAACGGTAGGCCTATTTATTGTTTGATTTTCTTTGACTGACCAAATTTGAAAGTTGAGACTGTTTCATATTAAATATTACCTGCTCGGTCCTGTCTGTCAACGCGTTGTCAGTGTCTTCTATTTTTCACTGCTTGAGAACATGGGTTGAATCCAAAATCGCCCCCTAAACCTTCATTTACTAGGCCTATTCCCTACATTAGTCCACTAATACTGTTCACTTGAAGGAGTGAATGAGAAGGAGTAAGTAAAAACGAGTGAGCGAATTCGGACAGCCGTTGCTGACAGAGACGCAATCTGACACGCGTCCCATTTTCTCACAAATCGTTCATTTAAGACTGCTTTACTGGACATTTTGACATAATTTGTGTGTTATGGTTTGTTCAAGCCTGAAAGAGAACTCGATACTGACGCGCATCTTTTCTGTGGGTCGTGTGTGTGTGTGTTAATAGGCAGTATTTAACGACTACTGCGTAATTGCGTTCAACATTTTTAAGGCTTTAAACTTTTTTTTTTTCACATGGTGCCGCGGTGGGCATGTCATGAAACCGGTGTTGCGACTGAAGCACCGACAACCGTAGCAAGCCTACTTGGAAGTAAACGTAAACTACTGTGAGTGGATAACAGTTTTGCATTATAATGAGTTTCAACTCACTCGTCACTGCATTTTCCAATAAGTCA